TACCAGTGTGTATTTCACTTCTCGTGACTAAACGTGTCTTTAAATACTTTCAAAGCTAGTGCCAGCTCCTGCTGTGAAATGATGTGTTAACACTAGGAATTTCTAATTTAATTAAGAAACTGGTAGACTCATCTTAGTGTGAATTGGAAATCTTTCTTGATAGACCTAAATTTACTTTAAAAAAAATAAAAATCTAATGAAAAAAAAAAAAATAAATAGCCTTCTCTTCTCCAGACTGAGCAACCCAACTCCCTCAGCCTGTCTTCATAGAAGAGGTGCTCCAGCACCCTTGTGACCCTCCTCAGGACTCTCTACAACAGGTCTATGTCCTTGTGCTGGGGGCCCCAGAGCTGAGTGCAGGAACCAGGTGGAGTCCCACAAGAGCAGAGCAGAGGCGGAGAATCTTATTCCTCACCCTGCTGGCCCCATGTCTTTTGATGTAGTCAGGATACGGTTGGCTTTCTGGGCTGCAAGCACACATTGCTGGCTCATGTTGAGCTTCTCATCAACCACCACCCCCAGGTCCTTCACCGCAGGGCTGCTCTCAATCCATTCACTAACCAGCCTGTACTTATGCTTGGGATTACCCCAACCCAGGTGCCGGACCTTGCACTTGGCTGTTGCGGACTTCTTGAGGTTCACACAGGCCCACCCCTCAAGCCTGTCCAGGTCCGTCTGGATGGCATCCCTGCCCTCCAGTGTGTTTACCACACCACACGGCTTGGTGTTATCAGCAAACTTGCTGAGGGTGCACTCAATCCCACTGTCCATGTCACTGAGAATAGTGACTGTCACTGTCACTGTTTCTTTAGATGATGCTGTGTCTTCATAGACAGACACACTTATCACTCACAGAAACAAAACCAGCATCAATGGCCTCATCCTGTTCCACTCTTTCTGATTAGGATGAAGGTCCATTGGTGGAAAATATATGTATATCCCCATACATATATGTCCAATATGGATCCTTCTGGCAGCTGGACTCAAGCACTGAGACTACCCATCAGCAAACTCAGGATCCAGATTTTCCCAGTTGCTGGCACCTGGTCATACAATCCCTCTCACAGTCACACACAGACAACTGATTCTCTCAATACTTGTTACTGGATCTTAATTCTTTTCAGGTGCCTCAACCCTAGTGAGATAGGGAGGGAGAGGAACACTCATGCACACACATATACAATCCTAGAGACTCCCAAACCCTCTAGTATCTCCAGCAACTGCTTTGGACTCCTCAGATCCCTCAATAGCCAGCTCCTCCCATGCTCTCACCCATAGAGACACACCTGGACCCTGTTCAGAATGTCTTTATCACAGAATAGTTGAGGTTGGAAAGGACTTTTGCCCTGCTCAAGCAGGGACGCTGACAGCCAGCTGCCCAAGACAGTGTCCCACTGGATTTTGAATGCATTCAGGGATGGAGACTCTACAGCCTTCAGGCATCCTGTGCCAGTGATCTGTGGTCTGTCACCTGCACAGTGAGAAAGTGTTTTCTGATGTTCAGACAGTGCCTCCTGTGTGCCGATTTGTGCCCATTGCCTCTTGTCATGTCACTGGGCACTACTGAGATGAGCCTGGCTCCACCTTCTTTGCAACCTCCCTTCAGGTATTTATGCACATTAATGAGGTCCTCCTGAGTCTTCTTTTCTCCAGTCTGAGCAGTACCAGCTCTCCTGGGGTTTCCTCACAGGGGAGATGCTCCTATTCCTTCATGGTCTTTTGGCCCTTTGTGGACTCTTTCCAATTTGTCCATGCCTTGCACTGGGGAGCCCAGACCTGGATGCAGTACTCCAGGTGTGGCCTCACCAGTGCTGAGTAGAAGGGAAGGATCACCTCCCTCAGCCTGCTGGCAACACTTTGCCTAATGCAGCCCAGGCATTTTTTTATTTTATTTTATTTTATTTTATTTTATTTTATTTTATTTTATTTTATTTTATTTTATTTTATTTTATTTTATTTTATTTTATTTTATTTTATTTTATTTTATTTTATTGTATTTTATTTTATTTTATTTTATTTTATTTTATTTTATTTTATTTTATTTTATTTTATTTATTTTCTGCAGGGGCATATTGGTGGTTCATGGTCTCAACTTGGTGTCCACCAGTGGCCTCCAAGGCCACTTACTCACCTACTCATAAGCTGATCTGGATGGTTCTTTGCTAGCACTCACACACACACTGGGACTCCTGCACTCTCCCAGTGGTGGCACCACAGGTGCACAGCCTCTTAGCCCATGGTCCTACTGCAGTTGCTGGCACTCGTACCCCCATACACACACATGCACACAGGTTGTCTCTTGCCCAGGAAAAAGTTAGGATAATAAGAAGACAGGACTGTCAACACTGATCAGGTCGACATGGGCAGGCAGGTAAACTGATCTGGCAGCTGTTTACCTGTGACTGTTCCCTTTTATCCCCTTTTGCCTCTATTTCCCACACTTGTTCCTCCCCAAACCACTTTCATCTCACCTTTTCTCCACATGCCTCCTCTCATAAGCATTTAATCCCTAAATGTTCTTCCTCTGCTTCTCACAATGCATCCCATACCCCTAGGAAGCATCCCCTCCTCCCCCTCTGTTGGCAATGTGCTTCATGGCTGAGTCATGGTGATGGGTTTCACACCTGCACACTGGGGCTGAGACTCTCCTGTAACAGCTCTGGGAGAGGCCTGGACATGGTGTCCCTTCCTCTTTTATTTTTTCTTTGTTTGTTTCTGGAGCATTGCTTGGTTTTTAATCATTTTAGATATTCTTTGATGATTTTTTCAGTAGTTTGGATATTTAAAATTATTTACACTTCATAGGTGAAATTTATCTTTTTATTTTTTTTTGTAGAATTAAAACTAATAGAATGTCAGTAGAATTCTTAAGAATAAAAACAAATGGATAGGAAATAATGTGATTTTTTTTTTTCCTTTAAAAGAGAAAATGTAATTAATTAAAGATATACAGAAAGAAGAAAACTTACATTATAATACATTAAGTTTGACTACCTATCATCTATTATAGAAGGAGGCAAGGTGATACATATAGCACCTCAGTCAAAATCTCTCCGGGTTTTGCTGTACAGAATTCAATGCACTTTTAGTGTTAAGGCTGCTCAGCTTCTAATCAAGAGTAGTTACTGTTTTTTTTCTTGTGAGGTTTTTCTCTGGACAAACTTGATTTATGCAAACGGAAAACAGAAAAAGATAAAGTGGCAAAATTCATGTTTTGTTTTGTCTTTGAGAAATTATCAAAACATTATATTTTTACATTTCAAATTCAAAACTATTTTACCTGAGCACAGCATCTTGTGAAACTTTAGCTAATTATCATATAATTAAAACAATTAATATGGAAATAAACAATGTGGAAGATATGAAATTTGCTTGTATGACCTGAAGTATTAATATTTTTCTAGATTGTATAGATTTTGATTTTCTTATTTGAGACAAAATATTTTTTCAATCTCAAAAGAGTTCGCATATATGGAAACACACTTATGCTTAGCTAATGATTAATGGCAATCCCAGAGGGAAAATTAAATGTCATAAGCAAAGCAATTATAATGAAAAAGTTAGAATATACATTTTTTCCTGTTCTTATGAATTCATAAATAGAGACTTATATATCAAATTCAAGCCAGCCAAAGTCAACAGAAAGACTCTAATTAACATTAATATGCTTTGGATCAGATCCTAAATCCTTAAAACATTGATAAAATAGGCCTTAGATGACAATATGTTATCTTGTGAAGCTCCAAGGTATTCACGAGGACAAGAAACATGTTTTTTTCAGATTTTGATTAAGTTTCTTCTTCACTTTCTAAGCTTCCAAAACCAAAGATGATAAATTAAAAGATGATAAATTTTGAAAATACCAGTGAATCCAATCTTCATGAAGATTAATGAAAAGCTTCTTTTCCTTAAGAGCAATTCTTGGTTATTTTAACATGATGAAGTTTAGAATTGGTTTTGGACACACAAAGAATTCTCAAACAACTGTGTTGTTTGTTTTACTTGTAACACCACAAAAGAGGCTTTTTTTTTTTTTTCTAGCTATGGGGAAAATGCAATGGGGAGTTCTCTTTTCTGTGCAATGTGTTTTCAATTGTTATTTGTTGCTTGTCACTTATATATCTTAAAAGTAGATATGTTTTAAAGTGTCACAATTTGTGTTAAACTGTCCTGTGATAATCATGATTTACCTCAAAAAGTAACCTAGTCTCTCTCCTCCTCACCTTTCAAAAAAATTCTAGTAACCCTATTACATTGGTCCAATACTTCAGAGTATGAAATCTCACAACTGTGAGAGGAAAATCAAACTTGTTTTAGCTGAGCCTTATTTCTGAAGTTTCTTTAATGACCTTAGATGGCATAACTATTTGTAGAGTAAATGCATCACAGAAACCAGATGTGGTAGTCCTTAGTAGACTGATACACGTCCAGTCATGGAAAGCATTTCTAGACCCGTTTTTAAATGCAAATTCCATTAAATGAACATAAACTATGTACGCCAACAATTTCACATTGAAGGATATTCTGTTACCCTCGCTCATTTTAACTTGTGGCTCCCTTCTCAAATAATCTCAAAATAGTTAATAAAAATTCCTGCTCAGGCCTCATACAGTGCACAGGTCTGTTTTTCTGTGTAGAAGTAGAGTTTAAACAAGGAACTGTATGGATTTTTCTCTTACAATATGAGTGCTATCTAAAATGCAAGTTCAGTTCACAATAACAATGTGAACTGAATACAAGAGTATTGTATTCAATACAAGAGTGTATCATTTTCTGTCTGATCAGATACTCCATCTGTCTGAAATTATCTGCAAAGTAGATGACAGTCCAGACTTTTCCCCAATAAAAAAAACGTATTGTGATTATAGGAGAGTGGCCATAATCTTCCTAGAAACTGTAGAAAAGATGCTAGTGCCTGTGTAATGTTTATTAAGTAGAACAGAGTGGATGACACAGAATCCATCTTTACCAAAAACAGTTCTTTTTCTTTCTTTCTTTATTTTTTGTCAAACAGAAATCAAAATTCTACTGAAATCAAGGTACCCAGTGCTCTACTTTGGGGACACTACTCCAGATATTCCACATGGAAGAAGAAAGCTGTGAGTTTCCCTATGCAGACTGGTATGTATTATTACCTTTTCTTTCTTGAAACGTGTACCTCCCCATCTGCTATAACCAGCTAATGAAGGTATTTAGCCCTGTAGCTCCAGTAAGATGCTTCTGTGCTGAACTCCTACTCTATTAATGCATAACAAATAGTATCACATACAACTGTGTTTTCTGATATAAAAAGTGAATTAACCATGAAAAAAATTAAAAAGTTATTAAAAAACAAAAAACAAAACACATTTATGTGCAAGACTACGAAATGGTACATTTGCAGTTGCTTACTACAGTGTTTTCATACCTTCTTCAATTTTCACGGTGATCAACTTGAAAGACACATTCTACATTTTTTTCAAATACCATTGTCTCATTTATATCACAGTAACAACAGAATTAAGGTTTCTTACACAACAGTATAGCTAGTATTTTCTAAGCCTTTATTTTACTGGGGGAAAAACATCTGCCTTTTGAAACATTTGAATCAGAACTTACCTTCATAAAAATACAAAAACAACAGCAAAATGACAAACAAACTAGAATTTAATCTTTTAGTAATGTTTATTTCTGAGTACCTGTTTAGGAAGGGCCCTACTGAATACATTGCAATGGCACGCTCATTCCGACTCAGTTTTGAATGTCCTTTTTCATTACGAGAATAGCCTAACTCAGGGATGCATCAGCTTTACTGGCAGGAAAAAAAAGTTATTTCAAAGTTCAAAGAAATTGTGATTGAGCCTGTACACTAGTATGGTCCTGAATGCATGCCACTTTGGAAGCAAAAACCACAAAGATAAATGTACATCTGTTAGAATTGCCCACTTCTGCATGCAAAATATGGAGAAAAAAAAAAGCCTGCCAGTAACTTCCAGCTTCTTCATCAGTGTTTTCCTCTGAGATGGTCCTTAATTCCAAAAGAAGGGTTATTAGTGTTTATTTCAATCCAAAAAACTTCTGTTCATTTGTAGACATATATCTGAAGGGTTTAAATACTCTCCAGGCTCCCTGCCAGCAGATAACTGTGGGTAGAAAAGGTAGATTGAATCAAAAAGTAAACAATTTTTCAGCCCACTGAGAGAGATGCTTGGAGCTTGATAATAAAGACAGCAGGATTATATCCTGCCTTTTCTTCAGGGAAGGAGTATTGCACAGCTTCCTGTTGATTAATACTCTAAATCTTTTGCTTTCATGTTCACTCTTGCCATAGCCTTTGCTAGCTTCTCCAATGTTCTTTTGAGTGGGAAGTTTGATTCCCAGCAGTACCAAGATTGGGGTTCATACTGATGAATAAAATATTAAGTTCTCTGTTTACAAAAATGCAGAATTTTTGGTCTTTGGTTTGAGAGAAACTCAGAGTCACCTCCTACAGCATGTGTTTATATTCTCTGGTACGAGCCTGCAGAAGAGTAAAAAAATTAATCAAAGAAAGGACATTAAGGTAAAGAGTCCTTACATTCTTGTTCAATAGAAAATCACCATGAAGCAGTGATGTTACTTGATTTTCATAGAGAAATTTTCTTCTTATCCAAGCAGAAATTATTTCAAAATTGTGTGGTTTACAGAGGATTTCAGTAGAATTAATATTGCCTCACTGCATTAAAAATTTACAGGATTATTCACCCTTCATGATGATTTTGTAAGAGAACAGAAATATAAGCAATGGCTGTATTCTGAAGCTATTGTATTTGTTTTGGAAAGGTCACCTATAGAAATTTAAGTATCCAGTCAATAACTTTGTTAATTTGCCAGTAGGTATGAAAGAGAATATTAGCTATAATAGTAATTTGCTTATTCATCCAAATTTATTTGATTTTAGTTTCCAGACCATTTCACATGCTTTCTCACCATTTCATGTTGTGGTGTCATTCTACTACATATGGAAGTTGGTTCTCATTAACATGGTTTGAACACATTTATATGGAGCGTGATTAAAGAGAGATTCTTCTTTGTTCTAACCTACTTCCAGATTCAGGATCTGGTGAAATATGCAGTGTGATTTACAGCAACCTTTTGCTATGCTGTAATCTGCATTACCAGATAGCCTGAAGGGCTGCCTCCCAGAGCATAACTGCTCTGAGAATGCACACAGAGTCAAGAACATGATACCAAATGACAATACTGCATGTGATATAATTTAATTTGCAGTTGTTCAGGAATATAAACAATAGAAAAATAAAATTTTCAAGAAATGATCAAAGTGATAAATTTCATCAGAATATTGCATAATTAATTTCTGATTTGTTTTCCATGTTGAAATACTCCAGCTTCTAGATTTATCCATAAATTAAATACATGTATAATGTTATCAAGATTTCACCTTATGTTGTATGGATAATGTAATACAAAATGAAAGCTATTTAATTTCTGTTTTGGAATGAAGGAAGACATCTGTTTTTTAATGCAAATTAGACAAAATCTTTTTTTTTTTTTTCAATTAAATAATTCTTAGTAACAATGTTTTCTACCTTCACCAATAGATCTATGCTCAATAGCAAAAATAAAATCAGGTACAAAATAAACATGTATATGTATATGTGCTGTTGTAGTTTTACTGTCTTCTATTCAAAGACGTGCTTTCCAGTGATAACAGTTTTTCAAAAATACAACATGGAAAGCTAAATTACTTTGTCCTGTAACCGTGCATTTATTTTTGATCATTTCAAGCAAAGTGTATTATTACAGGTGTGAATTTGTGTAGGCTTAATTTTATTTCCAATGAAAATAGCTTGCTGCCAAACTTGCAACTTTTCACTTTTTGATTATTCAGAGTGTGAAAATTCTAATTTTATGGAAGTTCTTCAGTCAGGAAACTACTCAGAATAAAATAGTAAATGTTATTGTGTGATGCCTTGGGAAAATGAAAAAAACAACCAACATATTTGATTTGTATAAGATGTATGTAGGAAGGAATATTTTTGAAACTGTTAATAGCTGTAAGGTAATGCATGTTCTTTGAACAAATGGTGCTGTAGGAAGCAATATATACATTACTTGTATATATATTTATACATATAAATATTAAAAGATGAGCAGAGCTTAAGAGTATTGATCTCACAATATTTCCTTTTTAAAAATGGGAAATTGTTTATTAGAATGTTTATGACTTCCCAAATCTGCAGTACCTACTTATTACTACAGGCAGACATTTGTCAGATTCTGAGAGAATTACTGTTTCCATAGAATTCTGTTTGTGCATTTTTCCTCTGCCTGATCAATTCTGGAGCAATGTTGTTAGTTGGGAACCAACATTCATGCTGATGGAACGACTGAAAAAAATGACATATTAGGAAGTGATGCTCTGAGTCTTGCATTTAGCACTTCTTCTTTTCCATTTCAAGTTATGTGCAGCCTAGTCTTACAGAATAAGATTAGAAATCAGATATAACATTATTCTCATTTCACATTTGCTGGCTAAATCAGAATGCCTTCCATATCTATGAAGGATGACCTACCCCAAGTCATGCAGTGCAGGCATGCTACAGAGAGACAAAGAAGAAAAAAAAAATCTTCAGGCAAATATAAGCTTTAAAAATTGCCAGTTCTCAAAAATGGCAGGAAGAGGCTGTAAAAGATTAGGTTTGTATATTGTAGCATCTTATGCAAGTAAAGTCTGTAATATAACCCATACTGGGTAAAGTGTGATTCAGATTGTGATTGCTAGGAATTTTGGAATCATTTATTTAGACAAAAAGTCGCAATATGACTGTCCATATCCGAGTTGCTAGTCTAACCAACATCATGGGTGGTCACTTTGGAATTTTTTGCTTCAATCCAATCTGATCATAATATTTAAAGATATCAGGTAGCTTCACAATACAAAAGCAAGGCTGTTTGTCTGCTTGAACTCAATACTGTGGAGATTTTATATTTCTATGCTACCAGTGTAAAGGTTTCTTTTTTGCGTGTGTGTGTGTATGTGTGTGTGTGAGAGAGAGAAGCTTCTGGAGCAGTAAAATCTGTTTTATATTGGTAGAATACACATGGAGAAACTATAAACAGTTGTCAGACTGAATATGGCAGTGATTTCCTGTTGCATCACTTGACATGCTGTGTATTACCTTTTAAGTGTGAAAGTGTTGTCCATCCACATGGGCGGCCCATTTTAAGGTGAAGATACTTAGAAATGATGTGTACTTGTGAAGGGCAATGAAGGTACATGCTACAAAGATCATTTTGAAGACAGGGGGAAAACATTACATTCAAAAGTCAGCATGTGCCTATATCCAGGAGGAAGCCTTTGTGTTTGCTGGCAGATTTCTATTTGGTCTTTAAATAAAATTGCTTATGAGCTTTGCAGTACTTTAGAATCTTTTCTTTGTGATACAGGTACTTTGATATGGGTAAGTCAAGGTCTAACTATTGTTGTAGATTTTACTGCCCACCTTCTAGTCCCCTCAGTTCAACTGACATCATTCTGGGATAAAAAAAAAAAAGACTGACTTACTGTCATGTATTCTTGCTGGAGAAGGACATCATTTTGATGATTATTTCTAAAACTGTGCCCCTCTATGATGACTTCTAATGCTATTGCAGATAGTTTGCAGCTGTCCAGTCTGCAAGGAGAGGGAACTGCAGGCTCATAAACATCTGGCAGTGTAGTTTTATGTATGCACCACAATGCGTGGAGTAGTGCAGAGCAGCAAAGGGCTCTTTCACTGGTGCTGTAATTCCTGGCAGGTGTTGTGGGAAGCTGTGGACAGGTAAAAGAGGCAGCCAGCAAGCTCTACTGGGCAGGGCTGGCAGCACACCAAGAGCACACAGCCAGCCGTAAAGGCCAGTTGCCCGTTCACCTTCCTTTTCCCCTTCAAGTTCTGTACCAAGTGGAAGTCAAAGACAATGCTGCTTGAAGGACTGAGTTCTAACAGTCAATGGCATTGAATATAGATAGCTTATACTCTAATAGTTTGATTTCCACCTTGTCCATTTTGTCAGTATGTTACAGTATGTCCTGTATTCTTTAAGTACAACACTAGGAACTATTCTCCCCAATATTTGCACACAAGCACAAAACAGCCATT